TCTACTCTACTCTACTCTACTCTACTCTACTCTACTCTACTCTACTCTACTCTACTCTACTCTACTCTACTCAATTCATACCTGGCTACAAACTGCACCTACCACATCTTCAACAATCCTGCTGATGTTTTATCATCTCCTGCAGTTTTAGCAAAATGCTTCACACCCCATTTAATTTTACTTTCCAAGAAACCTGATTCTAATTCAGAATCCAGATTTTCATTAGTGATTATCCATTTTGCGGTCTTCTTGCTACGGTTCTTCTGTATCTTAGGGTCATCTCTTATTCATGTCTTCTTTCTCTGCCTGAACTTTGATCCCACACAGTTTTTTTCTGACCACATCCAAATTTACCCCCAAAATTAATAATTTATCTTGATTTCCGTAGGCCTCTTGCATGTCTTATCCTTCCTATTCAATTGTCATCTTTCTGCTGCTTATTTAAGTCTAATTCTTCTTGCTTTTGGCTGGAACTCAAATTTATTTGAGCAAATATTCCTCTATCTTTGTGGCCTTTTACTTTTTGCTTTCTTTCAGGTATTTTCAGCCATTTCACTTTCTTTGGCTTTCAAGGATATTTTTCTTTGCTTTATTTTGGGTGATGTCACGAATTTCAGTCCCAAGTACTTCTGAGACTCTATCAGATCTAGTCCTTTATCTTCTAATAGGCTTAAGCCCTATTAGAAAGCATTCAAGTTATTCCTAGATTATAATCAAAACATGTTCTGTGAGATCCAGTTCATAGGCTTGCCTTTTAGTCAATCTGGTTGAGGATGATGGACATGGGAAACAATCTTGGTGGTTGCCTTGAAACTGTAGATCTCCCTGGTCTCCAAGCTGCCTCTGCATTCAACTACACTTAGTCTTTGACTTACAATTATTCATTTAGTGAATTGTTGAAGTTGCAGTGTCACTGAAAAAACTTCCTTCCTTCCTTCCTTCCTTCCTTCCTTCCTTCCTTCCTTCCTTCCTTCCTTCCTTNAAAATAAACATTTTTAATTTTGATTCTTCAGAAAAATGTAATTTTTTTTCAGATTTCACAATACAGGTACATTTAAATAAAATGACATTAATTTTGTTATTATTTCCAGATGCACCACCCATTTTTTGATATTTCCTTCTTAGGAATGTGAAGCAAGACAATTCTATATTGCCAGACTTCCCGTTTTACATTCTATTATGGGCATAGGTAATCCAATGAAGAAGTTTCCAAGAGCTCAGATTAATACTATTTATTAGAAGAAAGGTTAAAGTTGCAATCATTCCAGCAAGTACTATGCTTTCAAATGAGAATGAAATGAAATATTACTTATTCAGCAAAATGAGAAATATAGAGACAAAGGAAAACAATGACTATGGAAATCTTGCCAATTTCCTTGTTCTTTTTATTTTGTGAATGGAGAGATCTTCATCTTGTCAGTGTTTAGTAACTGCTCTCTCTTATCAGTGTAAGAAATATTGTTACATTAGCAATTTGTTGACCTTGCTATATTATCCTCATAGACATTGAGGAGTTGTTTGTAAAAAAACAAGTATAATGGACCACTTAGAGAGTTTCAGCTGCTGAGTTGTGTGATTTTATGGGGTTAACAATCTGATTTATTTACTGAAGTGTGTTAATGCATGTCCTCATTCACAAATGTATACACACTTGTACCTATGCTGTCAGTATATAATCACAGAAGCATCACATCTTTTCTACAGACATGTATTGAAATAATAGCTTTGTATTTTGAGAAAGTAGGTATAGACCTAGGTAACACTTTATGTACCCACAAATTGCAGGTTCTTTGGTTCAAAACTAACGTCCACAAAATGTCAGAGGCAATAGTCTTGCGACTATGGTATGTACAGGCAAAAGATATTTCCACAAAATATTACTTCAGTGAGATGCTACTGCCTTCATCAACAATAGATTCATTTGAAGTTGAAGTTTTATCAGTAAAGAACCAAAATCTATTTATATACAAGAGGCAGCAGGATTTGCAAGAGAGGACAGCTATAGTTGTGGGAATCAGAGAGAAAATTATATATATCCATATCAGAAGTGGGTTCCTACCGGTTCAGAATGGTTCA